TATATTACTCCAATTCAGGGTAGTGTGTGGCTAGGAATGAAACTATCACGATGTGATTTTCAATGAATCTGCTACCCTAATATTTCTAGACAGTGGAAATCGTTGGTTCGGAAGTGCTGTTGAAGGAGGCGTTAGATTTGACGTGATGCATGTTGCGCACGCTGTTGCCTGAGAGAATTCATAAGAAATTCTGTTAACTTTGACGCAGGCCCTAAGCAGGATTTTGCCGGATCGAATTGTATGCTTCTGCCATTGTTATTATTGTTTCCTATGTTTATGCAAGTTTGTTCATTCAGTTATTTCATTTTCAATTTATCTGTAGCGGTTTGATACAATTAAGAGTTTTCTCTACCGTTTCAGGAGGCAGTTAAGCGTCAACCACATTGATTGGGTCCGGCGTCACATGTAGGCGAGTGAGAGACTGCAGATTTTCCTCCCTACAAGACATTGGCAACCAGATAATCTTTTCGGATAATCTGAGAGCTTCATGGTCACTGTCACTGAGAATCGCTTTTATTTCCAAATGTTTAACTGAATTTGATTTTTACTAGCTGCCCTGGTGGAATTTGAACCTCTGCACCTGAGCATTAAACTGAGGACTCTAGATTACTAGCGCAGTAGCTATTGTTAAATTTTTCCCATCTTCAGCTGTATAATTACCAGCTTTGGATAGCAACAACTATTATGGTGCAAGTTAAAAGAAACAGTCGAAAGATCCCTAAAACAAAACTGAAGAAGGGTCCCGACCTGAAGCGTCAATTTTCCTGCTCCTCTGATGCTGCCTGACCTACTGTGTTCCTCCAGCTCCACACTGTGTTATCTCTGACTCCAGCATCTGCAGTTCTTACTATCTCTGAGGTGAATATTTAGCTAATCGATATGCTGGTATTGGCCGGGAGAATAATGTTGAACAAAGGAAGTTAGCGTGCCCAACATTTTAAAAGAAAACATATCCTGTGTGCGTTCCTGGGGTCCTTAAAAGGCAGCCGAGTACCAATTTCACAACTTTACCAACAGATGGCGCATTTGGTAATATATCACTCCATTACTGCAGGGAAATATAATCATTCTTTTTTGTTCCTTTAATTCTACGTTTCAGAGTAAGCCGACACACTTCTGAAACAGAACAGATTGCTAGCACATGAATCAAGGTAGCTCGTAGGATTTCATAACGGTCTAATTGAAGCTAGAAACATTGAATTAATCTGAGAAGGAAGTAAACCGCTCTTTAATTCGAATGCTAGCACAAAATATGCAAACAATGTTCTAAAGGATCAATGATAAACCTTCAATTAACTGGTGACAAGTAGAAGAGAACGGACATAATATTTGCTTGCTGGAGAATGATCGATATAAATATGCCTGCATTTTTCTTGTTCAAGTTGCACATTCCTTAACATTTCCATTCTTTTACTCTCATCAATTTTAGTCTAGTGTATTTTTGTGGCAATCGACTAGTGCGAAAATTAGATGGATGTAATATTCGTTAAGTCAGATAGACCAAATTAGGTTAGAATTTTATCTACTTAGGCCGATCTTTCCCACTGAAATTCACCTTTACCTCAGTCACTAATGCGTTCTTATTCATTCCGACGAAACAATGCAATTTATATCAACGATTCAGTGTTCACCCTTTAAACTCATGTACGCTTTCTAAAATTATAGATTTTCCATTAAATCTGAAATTATTCATAATTCATAAAGGATGGACCTAAGTTTTGAGCTCTAATATGTTTTTCAGCATGAACCCCAGAAGCAATCTGGTCTATGCCAAGCATCTTCGAGATTTTGAATTGGAGTACATTGTTGCACTTGTCACGACTTGTCTGGCTGTTACATTGATGGCTTCAGGTCTCGGTAGCCGTTATTCTCCTTATTATGTCTCAATTAATATCTATACAAGTTTACATTATTTCTCCTGTCCTGCTGGAACGTCTCTATCTATCATCCTAATTTAATACATTGTCTGTTAATATGTCATGCACCCATCAATTTTATTTCGTATATATGTCTGCAATGCGTACCACCTTCATAGACTGTCTCAGTGCAACGGTGAAACGTATCTTAATTTTCTCTTTCATGGGACAGTGTGTGTCCAATTTCAGTCCTAAGAAACTAATGTCTTCATCTCGGAGATAGCAAGAACTGCAGATGCTGGAGTCAGAGACAACACAGTGTGGAGCTTGAGGAGCAGGCCAGGCAACATCAGAGGAGCCAGAAAGTTGACGTTTCGGGTCGTGACGCTGCTTCAGAAATGGGGAGGCGGCAGGGAGCTGGAAAATAAATAGAGTGGAGGGGTGGGGCTCGGGAAGGTAAGTGGTGTGGTAATAGGTTGGATGCAGATCGGGGGTAGTGGGGATTGATTGGTGGGAAGGATAGGGTGGACAGGTGGGGAAGAAAATGGAAAAGTTGTGTCAGGTCAAGGAGGCAGGGATGAGAGGGAGGGTTGGACATGGGATGGAGACACATGTGGGGAGATTTTAAAACTGTGAATTCTATGTTTAGGCTATCGGACTGTAGGGTCCCGAGGCGGAATATGCAGATCCACCTCGGTACCAACAAACCCCCTCCCCCTCAAACCTCCTTCCCCCAACAAAAATAAAGACAGAATCCCACTGGTCCTCACACACCACCCCACCAACCTTCGCATCCAGCGTATCGTTCTCTGCCACTTCCGCCACCTGCAATCTGACCCCACGACCTGAGAGATATTTCTCTCCACACTCCCATCTGCTTTTGGTATTGACCACTCATTCCGCGACTCCCTCATCCGCTCCACACTCCGCACTAACTCCATCACACGTGGCACCTTTCCCTGCAACCGCAGGAAGTGCTACACCTGCTCCTACACCTCTCCCCTCACCTTCATCCAAGGCCCAAAGCAAACCTTTCATATCCGACAGGGATTCACCTGTACAGCCGCTAACTTGGTCTACTGTATGTGTTGCTCCCATGTGGCCTCCTCTGTATCGGTGACACCAAGCGTAGACTCGGGGATCATTCGGTAGAGCATCTGCGACCTGTACATGACAAAAGACAACACTTTTCGGTTGCCAACCATTTTAACTCCCTCCCCGGCCCTCCTACACCGTGGGTGGACATGTCCATTTTGGGCCTCCTCCAGTGTCACAATGACACCGCACGCAAATTGGAGGAGCAACACCTCGTATCCCGCCTCGGGAGCCTACAGCCCGATACCCTAAAAATAGAATTCACAGTTTTAAAATCTCCCCACCAGGGACCCATCTCCCCAGCCCAACCCATCCTCCCACCCGCCTCCTTGACCCAACACAACCTGTCCACCTTCTCTCCCACCTATCCGCCGCACCCATCTCACTGACCAATCCCCACCACTGCCTACCTGCACTCACCTATCACCATCCCTCCTACCTTCTCTAGTCCCACCCCTCCTCTATTTATTTCCCAGCTCCCTTCTCCATTTCTGAAGCAGCGTCACGATCCGAAACGTCAACTTTCCTGCTCTTCTAATGCTGTGCCTGCTGTGTTCCTCCAGCTCCACACTGTGTTATCATCTCTTCTGCAAGTTCAACCAACCAGTTTAAAATCTCTGTGGATGCACCATCACCATATGAGCAACAGAGGTTCAAGGATGCATTTTGCGGCCATTTTTGGAAGCTCAATTTGAGGTTGGGAATAAATACTGGCCTTGCCATGAACATCCTTATTCCAGGACCAAAAAATAATTTGTATTTTCCTTTATGCTGAGTAGCATCACTTCGTATTCACTTTGCAATACTAATTTCTCTAGCACTGTTTCTGCAACGTGTTTTTATATTTTGCAATTCCCAAGTTACAGAAACACAATGTTCTTCTTTGTTTCAACTTCATTCCAAACTCAACATGTCACTCAGCATTCACCTTCGCTTTCTACTTTCTTCATTGGCAGTTAGCTAGCATACACACATTCACGTACACACGCATGCAGACAAACGTACTCATTCATACAATTTAACTGTGACCATCTCTTCTTTATGATAATGTATTCCTTTATAAGTTCAACCCTTCATTAGATGTGCTGAATGAAATATGAAGAAAATAATAATAAAAAAGAAAATTAGGCAACTTGGTTTCAACAACTTGAAATAATTTTAATGGGAATTTAAAATTCCATATTTGCATAAATAAACAGTTAAACCTTTTAGCAATTCCCGTTTGTTCTGTGATTAAGTGGGTGTTGAAGTCTGCATATTCTTTGACTTAAAAGATTGTGGGCGCTGGAACATTTGATCAACATCATACATTTACGTTGGATAATTATCAGGGACATTGAGTTAAGATGGCTAACTGGAATTGCTTTTGGGAGCTATAGCAATCTACTTGACTGGCGGAGCCAGCTCTAAGGGATTAATGGACTTGTTCTGTTTGCATGGTTTTAAACAATGAAATTGATTTGGAAGTCGAACAAATATGAAAGACATCAATAAACACATATAGAATCTCAGCTTTGCAGATCAAGATCTGATGAGTATTACCCAGTGTGAACACGCATTTATTGTGAGCAAAATTACGTAACACTTTGTCCTTTATTATTTCCGAAATGAAAGCGAAGCATCAAATTTCCAGTCGGGGAAATGCCAAAACTTGGAGGCGTTTATAATGATCATGGAGAAAATTATTAAACATATAATGAAGCTGTTTATTTTAAGTACCTAAATTAATTGTGCACCACTAAATCGTTTAATCATGGAACAGTGCTGCTTTAAGATTGGAAATGCACAGTTAATGGCAGGAACTCGTTGTCTCACTGTCTACCAATAAGAAGCTCAGATGCAGCGGGAGATCCATTGCCCCTCCTCAAGATAGAAGGAGAGCTGGCTGAAAGCGAATTGTCAGTTGAATCACTTTACATTGTGGAGAGATATTCGGAGTGTTAAAACGACTGTTTGTAAATTTGGCTGATAGATTCATTTATCGCGCTGAAGCCAATTCTTGCCCTGAAATATTTTTGAGAATTTCCACAACAACCCGCCGTCGGCACAATGGCGAACCTACAAAGCAAAACAGCCTTTATAATTAAGACGTTGACTGTTATTTTCCTACTTTGTAGAATTAATCTAGTTTTTGGAGAGATTCGGTATTCTATTCCAGAGGAATTGGAATATGGTACCTTTGTTGGGAACATCGCTGAAGATTTAGGACTAAACGTTCGGCAACTGTCAACTCGAAAATGTCGCCTTGTATCTGCAGACGGAAGACAGCATTTAGAGGTAAATCTGGAGAATGGCATTTTGTTTGTTTACGAAAGAATGGACAGGGAACAGCTGTGTGCACAAATCCCTACATGTATCCTGTCTTTTCAAATAATAGTAGAAAATCCTCTGGAAATGTACCGCGGTGAAGTCGAGGTTATTGATATTAATGATAACTCGCCCAGTTTTCCGGAGAGTGCCCTTCTTTTACAAATAGCAGAAAATATTGCGCCAGGCTCACGTTTTCCGCTAGAGAGCGCGCTTGATCCAGACGTGGGGACAAACGCAGTCACCACGTACAAACTCAGTCCGAATGAGCACTTCAGATTAAACGTGCAAACCAGGGAGGACAATACTAAACTGGCAGAGTTATTGTTAGAGAAACCCTTGGACCGAGAACAGCAGTCAACCTTTGAGCTGGTACTAGCAGCCTTTGATGCTGGGTCCCCTCCAAGGTCTGGGACAATGCAAATCAACATTAATTTGCTCGACATCAATGATAACGCGCCTGCGTTTGAGCAGGAAGTGTACAGGGCGAGCTTGGTGGAAAATGCTCCCCCAAGTACCTTCGTGATCAAGATCAACGCTTTCGATCCAGACCAAGGCACCAATGCAGAGTTAAAATATTCTTTCATTAACCTTGTCTCTCGGAGAGTGCGTGAACTGTTCAGTTTGGACCAAGATACTGGAGAGGTCAGAGTTGAAAAGCTGTTGGATTTTGAAGAAGCAAACAGTTACGAACTCGACGTTCAAGCCGTGGATAATGGCTCACCAGCAATCGCAGGACATTCTAAAGTATTGATCAAACTAATTGATATGAATGATAACGCCCCTAAGATAAAGTTAACTTCACTGTCCGGTAAGGTCCCAGAAGATGCAGAGCCCGGGACAGTGGTAGCTTTGATCGATGTAACGGATCGCGATTCTGGAGCAAATGGACGAATTCACTGTCAGATTCCTAAGGAATTCCCATTTAAACTTCTTTCTTCTTTGAATGATCATTATACACTGATTACAAGTGGCTTGTTGGATCGTGAAACTACCTCTGAATATAACATACCTATTTTAGCTTGGGATTCGGGGTCTCCTCCATTATCATCAAACCAAACTATTCAGATTTCGATTTCTGATGTCAATGATAACGCCCCCAGGTTTGCTCGGCGCACGTATACAGAGTATGTAATGGAGAACAACGTCCCGGGTGCTTCAATTTTCACGGTGACTGCGTCTGATCCTGATCTGGATCAGAATTCCTATATCTCTTATTCTTTCAAACAAGTTCTTCAAGAATCGCCAGTCTCCACCTATCTCAATATTAATTCAGTGAACGGGACCATTTATGCGCTGCGGTCTTTTGACTACGAGAAAGTCAAAAACTTTCAGCTCCAAGTTCAAGCGCGTGATGCTGGAGTTCCTCCGCTGAGCAGTAGCGTAACACTCAATGTGATCATCCTGGATCAAAATGACAACGCCCCAGTCATTGTTTCACCCTCAGCACAGAGCGGATCAGCAGCGGAAGTGATCGTGCCTCAGTCAGCGGGCCAGGGTTACTTGGTTACCAAGATTATCGCAACTGATGCGGATTCTGGTCAGAACGCACGGCTCTCCTACCAGATCGTTCGATCAACCGATCCTACTTTCTTCACTGTCGCGAGCAATTCGGGGGAGATCAGAACAACGCGGAACGTTTTAGAACAGGATGGCAGTACACACAATCTTGTCATCTTGGTGAAAGATAACGGGCAGCCCCGTCTCTCCACCACGGCAACAATCCTCTTGTCAATCCAGGCCAATGTTAGTGCAAAAATCTCGGATACCGATAATTTAATCAGTACCCCGAACTACTCCTCCAATCTAAACCTTTATTTGATCGCTGCTTTCGGTTCAACTTCGCTTATATTTCTTGTAATCATTGGTTTATTGATTGTCCTAAAGTGCCACCAGGAGAGGGACGATGTTCCAGACGGTTGGTCCCCGGTTTGTTGCTGCAGCCGAAAGAATGCGAAGGAAACCTTTAGTCGGGCTTCTATGCCAACAAACCCTTTAAACTACAGCGGAACTGGACAAAGCATTCCTTTCCCTGAAACCTACCATTACACGGTTTGCTTGTCTCCAGAATCATCAAAGAGCGATTTTTTGTTCCTGAAGCCCTGCAATCCACACATGCCTCAAGGGCAATGCTAAGTGATACAATTGTGGTGAATTCAAGGTCAATTGTTTTGTATTCTTGATAAAAATTCTGATTTACTTTAGTCCACTTGGAAAGCAAGAGATTTCATCCCTTTTTATACATATTGCATTGCAAAAAGAAAAAAAATCTATAATATAAATCCACAGGCATATTGTAAAGGAAAGAAAGCGCTGTGGTATAAAATGTTCCTGTTAGGATTGCAGTGCACAGTTTCTCTACCAGTCATTATGGAACAATCCATGTGCATCGATAAACCAGTGCTCCAAATATTTTGCAGGGAGGTATATTAGGATCCATTTCTATTTGGAAATAATTGGCTGGATAGCTCTTCTTTTTTGATATTAATCCAGCTCATGGAATTTTTTTTGAATAATGATATAGGCAGTTTAGTCCAGTTTCCTGTTCCTTGAATGTTAACCTGGCCCGCTTTTGTCTGGTGTAGCAGTATGACGAGATGCAAAAACATATTATAAACAATTCAGAATATACAATCTTAATGTATGACATTAAAATGAATTTATGTTCTTAGATTTGCATTTTCTTTTATCTTAACCGTTAAATGTCGTCCATTACACAGGAACAGACCATTCAGCCCATAGGTCCATCCTGGTTCTCTTGCTCCTCAACAGCCTCCTTTCATCATTTCCACCTAACTCTCTCAGCATGTTTTCACACCCCTTTCTCACTCATGTGTTTATTTAGTTTCTTAAATATATCATGTTATCTGTCTCAACTAATTCTAACGTTAGGGAACGCCACATTTCAAACATTCTCTCCAGGAAAGAAATTGATTCCTCAAAGGAGTAATTGGTGAATACCTTATATTATGTAATCTAGTTTTGTCCTCCCACAGAAATGGAAACATTTTCTCTATGCAGTCAACTCTAATCAATCTATTTGTTATCTTAATATCTTCTGTTGGGTCACCTCTTAGTTGTCTTTTTGTAGAACAATAAAGAGTTCCTACATGTTTAATGCTCCCTATGTACATGCTATCTAAGTTTGGGTATAATCTTTGGCAATCTTCATTTAGACTTCTCTAATTTCTCTCTATACTTTTCACTTTAGTGACCAGATCTGAACACAATAGACTGGGTCTGTCTTACAAATGCCCTGGATAAGATTAACATCACTTCCCTGTTTTTCCAATACTAGCCTCGGCCTATGAGCATCCGTTTGTTTTTGCTATGGGCTTTTAATGCATACTGATACATTTAGTGATTTTCATATCAGTGTCCCATTCTCTTTGTTACTTTACCCCATTCAGACTTTTAATTTTAAGCACGATGTAAACTTCTCATTCTTCCTACCTAAATGCAGACTTCACACTGATCTGTAGTGAAAGTCATTGTTAAATGTAAATCCACTCCGCTAGATTCTAAATACCTTCTTGAATTTAATCATGATCTTCCTTTGTGCTAATTGTACCCCACAATTTGGTGTCATGTCCAAAAATTAAATTGTACAAACAATTCCCAAGTCAGTATCATTAATTTAGATTCTGTACAACTGTGGTCTCACCGCAAATACATATAAAATATCATATCCCACATTTTTTCCAGCATGAGTAGCTACACATAATTCGTATTCTCTGTTCCTGCCTCTGACCTTAGTCTCAGATATTAAATTTAATCACGTGTCAATGTTAACAGTTATCCTTGTTATTTCTTTGATGAAGTCAATGGAGTTGCTCAAGAACGGAATTCCATTTTGAAATCATTCTTACTATTCCATTACTGGTTCTGATGTCTTCCTGTTAGAAACTTGAGTACACATTGGATTATATTTTCTGCCAGTCATATTAGTGCAATTACATATTGTTCCCTGCACTTGTCCTAGCTCTCTTTGTAAACCTAGGAACAGCAATTACTTTACTCAAATTTTGCCAAATTTTGCTTTCCTAATAATTTTTCTAATATATGTAAGAGTGCTTTTACTATCCAGTCTATCTTATCAAACATCAATGGCAGTCCATTCACATTATGGTATATCCTCATTTCATTTATCAATGAGTTCATTTCAGAGTCAGTTACATTGCTGTGATCTGGAATCACGTACAGGAATGATGGATAAGAAATGCAGTTTATATTCAGAAGGAACAATAGTAAATCAAATGGTCCTTAAATGATAACCCATAGATTTCTGGCCACCATTACTGATGCGAATATGTATTGAATAAATGCACACAGACACATTATATGGAATGTATGAATAGAGATAGGACAAGGAAAGAAATAAAGAAACGTGCAGGAGTGCGCCATGAATTGGAAGCTCAACAAATAAACAAAATATGAATAAGCAAAATAAAGGTAAGGAAATGGTGACAAGAGATTTTGGTCTGAAATTGTTGACCTCAGTGTTGAGTCCAGAGGCTGTAAAGTGCCTAATTGAAAGATGAAGTATGGTTCCCGAAGCTTACACTGAGCCTTAATAGAACAGAATAATAAGCTTATGATGTAGTTGTCAGCATGAAAGCAAATGGCAGGCTACCAGAAACCCAGTTTGACTGAGTGGATGCGTTCATGCAGCAGTTACCCAATCTGTTTTTTTTTTTCGCAATTTAGAGAAGACTGCATTGTGAGTAACAAATATGAACATTATATTTAAATACACATAAATCACTGATTCAGCTGGAAACAATGTATTCGATACCCTGGAAAGTGAGGAGTAGAGGCAGCAAAAGCATAATTGTGATATCTCTTGCATTTTGCATGTAAAGATGCTACAGGAAGAGGATTGGGTGTTGCAGTTGACTGAGGAGAGCACCAGGACAGCGCAGATGAAGTGTTCTTTTGCAATGCTGAAAGGGGAGGGGGGGGCGGGTGCAGTGGCTCAGTGGTTAGCGCTGCTGCCTCACAGCACCAGGGACCTGGGTTCGATTCCACCCTTGGGCGACTGTCTGCGTGGAGTTTGTACTTCTCTCCGCGTCTGCGTGGGCTTTCCCCAGGTGCTCCGGTTTCCTCTCATAGTCCAAAGGTATGCAGGCTGGGTGGATTGGCCACGCTAAATTGCCCGTAGTGTTCAGGGATGGGTACATTAGGTGGGTTATAGGGGGATGGGTCTGGTTGGGTGCTCCAAAGGGCCTGTTTCCATACTGTAGGGATTCTAAGATGTACTTGTTTGTGGCATTGTACTGATGTGGTGGAAATAACGGAGAACTATTGCCTGAATACAGAAACTAAATGGAGTGTAAGGCAAGGATATGGGGACCCCCAGCAAGAGAGGCAAACAGCAGATGTTTAGGAAATATGCCAAACATGGTTGTGGGGGTATTGCGGGTTGATGAAAGAAATAATGAATCTCAGAAGCATCTGTTCTGCAAAATTGCATCATCAGAACGTATTTCTATTCTCCATTTTCCCGTTTTGCTATCCTTTTTTTGCTTCATGTACTTAATATGTCTTTTTTTCCTTTGGTTTCAGTTGTAACCTTATTTATTTATGCATGGCGTTTCAGTATTAACAAGTTTGCTTTTTGTTCATTATGAAACATATTTCTCCTGAATCATGTTGATACCCCTTTCTCTGTTTCTTTACCTGATAAGCTTTTTCCAGTTTTGCTTTTGTAGTTCCCATCTTATCCTGCCAAAATTAGCTTTTGCCTAATCTGTTACTTTAGGCTTTGTCTGGCTTAATTATTCATTTTTCGTAACCATTGTTTAAACTTTGTTTTGTTAAGATTATTATTGCTTTTGCTATTTTCTTTCCTCATCTGCTGTAGATAATTCTCCATTTCTAGATCCAGGGATTCCCTCAGTCCAGCTGACATTTCTGTGTGCCGCATAAGAAATAGTCTGAGCAATCTCCTTCCAGCTGTCATCTTGTCTATTTATCTAGCTGCAATCTCTTATAGTCATGAAATCATTCAGGTCCATAGCTCAAAAAGGCCGTATATCTCAACGAGTCTTTGCTGGTCAAAAACAACCTCTTAAGTATTCCAATCCCATTTTCCCGCACTTAGTCCAGATTCTTGTATGCCTTATCATCACAAGTGTACTTCTGAATACTTCTTAATTGTTATGAGGTTTTCTGCATCTACCACCCTTATGGGCAATGAGATCGAGATTCTAATCAGTTGTTGGGTGACAAAATGTTTTCCTGGTATCTTCTCTAAACTTCTTGCTCCTTAACCTAAATCTAAATCTCTAAGCTATCATAAATAGCATTTCATGACTTTTTCTCATTTTATAAATTGCTAATGCATTTCTTCCTCCACCTCTCTTCCACCATGAGGCACGTGGTTTCAACAAGGTTTTTTAAATAAAAAGTCCAATTTTCTCATCTATGTTCAGCTCTGGTTGTAAACATGCTACTTGCTTAATAGCAATTCAAACAGAATTGGAATTTCCGAAATAAATTAATAATACCTCATTTCATGTTTAGTTGCTAAGACGGTTTTTATGAACTGTTATAAATCTTTTGCAAACAATATCATGTTTTTACAAACTGTTCCTATCCAGTTATAATACTTAAGTGAGAGTATGTTGTCAGTCCTAATACGCAATGTTACTGTATATTTGCCCTTGTCGATAACGTTTTATAGTGATTTTTTGCTTTTTGGTTCCTATTTGAATTCTATTGCTCAGAACAGAGTGCTTTCTATGCACACGGATAACTTGCCTGTTCATAAATATGGTAAGTATTTTACTGTTCTTTGAAAACGATTACGAGTTGCAACAGAAAAAAAAACTGCTCTACTGATATTCAAAAGTCCTCTATTTTTAATATTAGTAGTATTTATAAGGACTGGCAACAACTATGAGGGGAAATGTTACAAAATAGATTGAGCAGCGGATGCGTATTAATTTTGCGCACCATTAAGTTGCTTATTCTAATCGCCGTAACTGCAGGAATTGCTCAGCTTTAAGAATTTCTGGTAACATGTTCCCCGACAAAGCCTCGAGCCGCTGCCCACAATAGGAATTTGAAATGAATGAGCGATCCAATGCTCCTCCTCCGTCAGGGAGAATAGATGCCTGCACTTAGACTGAACG